GGACAGACAAAGCTAAATCAACTCAGAATTTGACGCTGATCAAAAACATACACTTGAGTCTATATCTAACACCGTTATTTCTTAGCGTTACAAACGGTAAGGCAAATTTAGTATACCCTTCGAACATACGTTCGTACGGGTATAAAAATTATAGAATCCTTGTACATAGATTACTAAAAATTCAAATAACATCGACCTTTTGTGATGCATCAAATTGAGAAAATATTGTTATAATATACAAAGCAATTAACATTAATAATTTAAACATGAAAGTATGTATTTTGTAGGATGAAGCTAGAGCATAATATTTTCATAATAATTTTTTATTAAAATATTTTCACAGTAGCATTTTTTATGTACAATATTATTAAGCAAACTGCCTTCGTTGTATTGTTTGTATATCGGTTACACACATAGGTACATACATACATTTTAATTTAATAATAATATTTATAAATTTATCGTATATTATGCAAATATTTTTTCATGTTTCATAAAATTCTTTTGCAAACAAATAACAAAGTAATATTAAAATTATTACAAATAATAAAATAAAGTACACAATGAGTATATTTGGTTACACATATGCAAATATTTACGATTATTTTATGAATGCATACGCCTTTGTTATATAAAATTCAAACTATGTTGAAGATAATATAAATTCTGGTTATTACAGATTTTATTCTTTAATGATTTTAAATTAAATATTTTTTATATATAACCAACACAGAAAATATTGTTACTAAGAATTTTTGACATTTTTATATAGGTTATGATTTATGCAGAATTCATTTATAATATTATTATTTAATATTTAAAAATTTGCAAATTAAAGAGAAAATGCAAATAATTTTTATTATCATATTTTGAAATATGTATAAAAGTTGATAAAATATGAGAATTATGTGTCGGAATAAATTGAATAGAATTCTACAGAACAAAACAAGATAAATCATAAATTGTCAATTTTGAAAGCATGTGGTTGTCATTTGAACTTCTAGAATGGCTAGACACTTGAAACAAAGGGTGGTTAGAGCTCAAGAAAATTATGACACGGTAAAAAGTTTTGCGAATAGATAATTTTGCAAACCTTGCAGCAACGCAAGCACACACAACTAATTATCTATAGAAGACTTTATAATATAAATTCAGAATTCATAATATTAAAAACATTAAAAATATGGATTGTTTTTTTATTTCTGAAATATAGTTTAGGAATAGATTCACCGTACATCGAATTGATATAATGTCCTAATTTTTTTTTATTTTATTATCTATATACGCTGAAAATCCTTTTGGATAAAATCATCTCCCTACACACACGCCTGGCTATAATGCTAATTTTTATATTAACAGATTTGTTAATATAAATTATGCTTACTAATTGCCGCCTAGCGAGTAAGTGTAACTTGCATGAGACGCTCTGCAGATGAAATCATTACCGTACTTATAACTAATTTGTTTTTTTATTTCAAAGTATGAGTATATTTTAATTAAAATCAATTTTAAATCATATTAAAGCGAATTTAATTTATTCAAGGCTTTATTTGCCCAAATTGAGTCAAAAGTGATTTTTACAGTATTTTGTAAAATTTAATTTATTTTACAGTAAAGCAAATTTTCGCCTATTTATTCAATAAGAAGTAGCTCTACAATAAAGTAATTCCAATATCGAAAAATCAAATATTATTCTTAATCTTAATTCTTAATCCATTAACGATAGAAACTAATACAGAAAGAAACCAAAATAGAAAGAGAATGCTGGTATGCATAATAAGTGTAATACATGTTTACCGTTGAAAGCTCAATATTTCAACCAATGTATAACATTTCGCACTCTGTTTATAATTTCAAAATTCCATTTTCAATTGGACATTAAAAGAAAAATTCTACGAATTCCCTTATATATTTGTAAATAAAAATTATTAAAATTAGAAAAATTCTTACATATATTTCAAATGATAATTTGAACCTCCTATTTTTATAACCTTAACATAATAGAATTTATTTTGAATACTTTAAATTCATTCCTATTCACCATGCCATATTGTGTATGTACATGTGCGCTTTGAATATTATATTTGCATTCATTAAATTAAAATAAAATTTTCTCTTACATACGTAGCTATTATTTTTATTCTCTTTATATAATAAAAAACAATTTTCTATAAATGTTATATTCAATTATTATTGTAACATTAATATTAAATAACAATTTTATCCTTTAAAAATTAATTCCATTTCAATAAATTCATTTCTTCGTCTTCTTCCATTTTCAACAAAATTAAAAATGACAATGAAAAAATATACGATAAAAATAACTTAAACATGTGAATTTTCAAGTGAATGTTAACTCTTTTCAACATTCAATATTAAAATTTGCTAAAAGAATATTATGTAAAATAAGAACACACTGTATAACAATATTGTATATATGTAACACATAATAAGTCTTTCGATGTAATACAAAAATAGATTGGAAATTTCATTTTACATACAAAATGTGTATAAATTGTGTGTATATAGAATTTATATAGATAATAACAAGGACGAATATTCTTACTATTAAGAAACATTTATTTGATTACTGCGACAATAATGTATAAGAGTATACAGATGAATTTATAAAAATATTTATATTAAAAATTGAAGAAGTTTCGAAAAAGAAATCATTTAATAAACTTAATATAGGTAGGAACTCAAAACTTTGAGAATATTTTGAAAATTTTATTGAACTAGAAGTAGGTCACTAAATTCATATTTAAAAAATTTTTAAGATATTGAGTAGGAAACTTATAAGATTGCATAAACTCTTCACAATAATTGCAATTTTTATTAAATAACGTAACTATAATAAATTTTCCCGCATTTTCCCGTATCAGATTTTTTAAACATAGTAGATCACACAATTTTACTTCGAAAATGGCGTCTCTTCTAAAATGAAATACATCAGCGCCCTAATGCTTCGATTATAAGTTTTTGATTAATTATAGTTAAAAAAAAAGTAAAAAGTAGCTGGTGCAATACGAACCAAAGTTCGCTTCTTACTTTTTAACAAAAGTTCTTTCAAAATCATAATATCTTAATATTCCTTTGGAACCATATGAATTATAAAAATATGATTCTTATTTTATATTTTCTCAAATAATAACATTATCTTTCCCACAGTCAACTTGAAAGCATCTTATACAAAGAATAATAACATTTCAAACGCGCAACAAAAATATTCCCGTGCACATTTTCTATTTTCCTTTTAAAATTCACATTGTATAACCATCTTCCATTTCCTTTTTAAATCTCATTTTGTCATACATGTTTTTTATAACATTTCCTGATAATATTTCAAAAAGAAAGACTCCTGTCTTATTATTTATTCACGCTTGCCTTCTTACACAATACAATACAATTTTCGAAAATATATGCAAAAATTTCATCATGTCGCGATAAAATAATAATATGGAAGAGAAAAATATTAACCTTCATATAAGTTTCTCAGACTGCGTATGCATGCTTATGAATTTATAATAAAGAAAATTATTTGAGATGTACAACGTCATAGATACTCGTACTTTCAAATTTAAGTAAGAGAAAATAAAATTTTTCATTCTTAAATTTAACATATAATTTAAGAAAATAACAAATATTTTTGTAGCAATGAAGAAGCGTTGATTTAATATTCTACTTTATATGATAAATAGCACAAAATATAAAATAATAAGTCGGTTCAAACCCAATGATTTCCATAGTAGCAAATTTCCTTTATGAACTTGAGTCTGGAATTCGGATTTTCAAACAAGAATGAGACCAACATTAAAATTTTGTTTGTACAGAAGGGAAATTTTTAAAAATTAAAGAGAAATTTTTGTTAAAGAAATTAAATATCTATCGACATCTTCAGACTGTTAATTTTAAAATTCACCCTAGTTGCAGGTGTAAAAGAAACTACTCGTCTACAAAATTTTATCTTTTCACTTTAAAGAATATAGACATTTTATTAAGATATATCCGAAGCGATTCTTTGGTTGATGGTTAGTAAACTATCGCAGTAAAAAGATCAGAATGTTTAATTTACAAATCAGTCAAAGAAGCGATTCTTTGGTTGATGGGTAGTAAACGTATTGCAGTAAAATTAAGATATATCCGAATGTTAAATTCAAACAGACATACGAGCAGAACGACAGACGAAAATAGTAAAATACGGACAGACAAGTATGCAGAGAAAGAAGTAAGCAATTTTTTTTTCAAAAATTTTTTGAAAATATCCAGAAACGTAAACAATATATGACACCTTTTGGTACATAATAATGTGGTATACAAAATGATTGTAATCAAAGTTAATAGAGCTATAAAGTCTATGTTATGTTTAAAGTCTTGTATAAAAGAAAATTTATGGACATTATAATGAACAAAGGCACCTCTACATTATCGCATATAAATCATTTCTAAGAGAAAATGCGTTCCAGTCTTAATAATTCTAAGAATTATTTCTTACTTTCTCCTTTAATTTATCTTAATTTCGCAATTACGTACATGTGTTATACTGTTATATAATATGCAATTATTAAGTTCATATATTTAAAGTTTTATTTAAAATATACTAACAATACTTACAATGTATTTAAGAAACTCCGTATTTAATATGTTAATTATTTATTCCATTTTAAACGAATTGAAGGGGGGGTAAACCGCATTCTACCAACCTCCTCGTGGTCCCTCCTGGTAACCAATATACTGGGCTAATAGGTAGAGCGTGCAGGGAGTAGGATTTTGACCTGTAGGGAAGGCCTGGTAGCATAGCTATCTAGACTCCTTCATGCAGGAAAAAATCACGAAGCAACTGCCGGTGGTGCTGCCTTGCACGTCAGGAGATTGGTTTCTCAAAGGCTAGGAGACGAAAACTCCGAAATCAAATGACCCGGTCCTCCAGGTTGGGGGTTAGTCGTACGGTTAACACCCGGACACTACAAAAAACTAACTGTGTTATGCAATCTTTACAAATGCCTCGGATATTGGATGGAAATAATGGTATAAGAACTAGGAAACGTTTAAAGGACAATGATTTAAATTTAGGTACTTGGAATATAAGAACAATGTTACAATCTGGAAAAATGCAAGAAGTAGCATATGAAATGTTGCGATATAAAATAGATATATTAGCTATACAAGAAACCAGATGGAAAGGATATGGAAAAATTAATAAACAGGAATATATAGTATACTATAGTGGTGACGAGAATAGAAGAGGAATGTACGGTACAGGGTTTATCATAAACAAAAAATTAAGAAATAACATATTAGGATTTACACCCGTTGATAGCAGGCTGTGCACGTTGAGACTTAAAGGGAAATTCTGCAATATTACAGTTATATGTGCGTATGCACCAACAGAAGATTCCGAAGAACAAGAAAAAGATATTTTTTATGATAACCTAAGTACATTGTGTGAAAAGGCAGGATCGTATGACACTCTCATACTCTTGGGCGATTTTAATGCGAAAGTTGGAAAGGAAGAATTTGTGCTGGAAGTTGCTGGGAAACATTCTTTACATGACAACACGAGCGCGAATGGTTTGCGCCTGTGTCAATTAGCCAGTGAAGCTGCATTAAAAGTCAAAAGTACTTGTTTCGAGAGAAAGGATATATATAAGGGAACATGGAGGGTTCCGGGTTCACAGGTAGTTAATCAAATTGATCACGTATTGATCTCCTCGAGAAGAGCTTCCTCCATATTGAACGTTAGATCATGTAGAGGAGCAAACTGTGACAGCGATCACTTTCTTGTGAAACTGGTTCTTAGACAAAGAATTGCTAATGTTGCCAAAGAAAGGGGCATTAAGAGAATCAAATGGGACACCGAAAAATTAAAAACCCCCGAAATTCGAGAACGGTTTCAATCCCGGGTGAACGAGATACTTAATGCCAATAACAACGCTCAAGAAAATGAATCGGTAAATGAAGAGTGGAAACGAATTGAAAATACCCTTAACACAGTTGCTAACGAAGTAGTAGGAAGGAAGTCGATCGAACGAAACATAGATTGGTTTGATAACGAATGCAAGTTAGCCATTAAAATTAAAAATGATGCGAGACAAAAAATGTTAAATAGAAACTCAAGATCAAACCACGAAAACTATAATCAAAAGAGGAAATATGCTACTAAACTATGTCGAAAGAAAAAGAAATTAATGATGAAAAGACAAGTAGAAAAAATTCAAGAAGCACACTTAGAAGGCAACACTAGGGAAGTTTATAGAAGAACCAAGTACCAGACTAAAGGTTACCAAGCGAAACTTAATGTCTGCAAAGATTCAGAAGGTAATCTTATAGTTGAAGAAAGCAAAGTTATGGATAGATGGGTCGAGTATTTCCAGAAAACACTTAATGAAGGTTACAGTGCAGATGAAGAAAACGTATACGATAATGTACCTCTGGACCCAGTTATAGACATGCCAACGATTGACGAGTTAAGGGAAGCTGTAGATAAGCTGAAAAATAATAAGGCTCCGGGAAAGAGCGGCATAACGATTGAGCTGGTCAGAGGTGGTGGGGAGATATTGTTAAATAATATACACACTCTGATCTGCAATATATGGTGCAATGAAAGGATGCCTGACGACTGGACACTGGGGCTTCTTGTTCCCATACATAAAAAGGGGGATAGAACCTTGTGTAGCAATTACAGGGGTGTCATGTTGCTGGATTCTTTATACAAGATATTGTCTAACATCATATACAATAGATTAAAGCCATTCAGTGAGGTAATCATTGGTGAATACCAATGTGGATTTAGGAAAAACCGCTCTACTGTAGATCAAATATTCCTTTTGAAGCAAACAATGGAGAAATGTTACGAATATAACATGGATCTACATATCCTATGTATAGATTTTCAGCGGGCTTTTGATTCAGTAAAGCGAAGCAAGATACGTGAGGCATTAATTGGACGCGGTATACCCCACAAACTAATACAAATGACGTTACTCCAAAACTTCTGTATTGATACAAGGCCAGACGTCTAAAGAATTTGCAGTCAAAGCTGGAGTTAGGCAGGGTGATGCTTTATCAACCTTAATATTTAATATGGTTTTGCAACACGCTATTGGAACGCTAGAAAATGGGGGCCACATATTCACGAGGCCGTACCAAATAATAGCATACGCAGATGACGTATGCATTGTCTCAAAGAGTTATCGAACGAGATGGATAAGATGAGATGGCACTCGAGGTAGGTCTTTTGGTTAACGAAGAAAAAACAAAGTATTTGAGAATGAGTCGAGATGAAAGAAGAAGAGCACCACAAAACATTACCATAGGAGAATATAACTTCGAAGGAGTTACGCATTTTAGGTATTTGGGTGCAACGATATTTAATGATAATAGTATGCACGCCTGCATAAATGAAAATATTCAAAATGGCAATAGAAGTTATTACGCAAATAAGAAACTATTTCAGTCTCGACTATTATCAAGAAACTTAAAAACCATTTTATACAAAACGACCATCAGACCTATAGTGACTTATGGGTGCGAGGCATGGTCTCTGACTCAGGGTGATGAAAGTAACTTAAAAATCTTCGAACGAAAAATATTAAGAAAGATTTTTGGTCCCAAACGACTTGAAGATGGAACATACCTTCTGCGTACGAACGAAGAATTGAATCAATCAATACATGGCGAAAATATTGTAAAACACATCAAGTCCCAAAGATTAAGATGGGCTGGCCACTTAGCACGGATGCCTGAAGACCGCAAACAAAAACGAACCTTCGAATATAAGCCACTGTTAAGTAGAGGAAGGGGCAGGCCACGAGCTAGGTGGATAGACGGCATAGAAAGTGATTTGCGAACACTAGGGGTTCGCGACTGGAAGAGAGAGGCAGAAAATAGAGCAGAATGGAGGCAAATTGTAAGGAAGGCCAAATCTCACCACGAGATGTAGCGCCAGAAGAAAGAAAAAAAGAAAAAAGAAACGAATTGAAATAATCCTTTTCAAAAGATAAACATTTTTATATGTATGTGCATAAATATAATATAATATTTTATCTATTTAAACGAATTATGTGAAATTTCTCTTTACAAATAAAACAAATAAATTATTTTGTATTTTAAATACTTAAATAACTTAAATTTCAGAATTCAAATAAACTCATTCAAGTTCCATATTTTATAAACTGATTAAATGTGAGTGAAATTATAAGAGAAACAAATAAGTATAGACGAAATTAATTATATTTTATGGAAATGTTCACATTCATTATTGTTTTAAAAGTTCATTGAAATTCATTATTCACGCATAATGCACAAATTTTAATTGCTTTTATATTTCTGAAATTCAAAAGATTATTATTCTCATAAATTTTTAAAATTAAATTTTCTTTATGAAAGAATAAGAATGAAATTAAAATTCAGCGTAACAAAAAACAATTCAGAGTCGTATAATAGAGTAATTAAGAAAATTAAATTTATTTAATTATTTAATGGGTGTTTGTGAAGTCTTTCGAAGAAGGACGATTATAGGAATATCGAGTAGCTTCTGGGAACTCACTACAACAATGTTATAAGTAAGTATCAAATATCAAATATTTCAATCATCCGTGACTTTGGAAATTAAATATTGGCCTGTTATAATCAGATATACAAGTATGTAAGAGTTTTTTACTTATATTATTGTGGGATATAAGTAAAGCAAGGCGTTACGGGACGTTTTTGCCGGTTCTCTGGTACAGCCCAGGCATACTCGTTTCCCTGATATACTCATATTGCTGATGCATTTAAAAATATCAATGTTATATGCAGATGAAATTATAAAATAAGCAGGAAGAAAGCTCAAATTCGTTAGCTTCTCGTCAATTTTCGAATATATATGTTTTTCTTATACATAATATTGTTAGTCTACATGCGGTAGAACTACCAACTTTGTTGTATGGAACACAAATTCATTCTTAATATTTTTCTCTGTAAACTAAGACCATTGAATGGTTATTCCTCTTATTGATTCATTAAAATCCAATTGCGTATTCATATAATAAACTTTTAATTCACATTATTTTTTTCAATTAAATTAAAACATATCAAATAACAAATGGGAAACAATAAAATTTATTATTGCCAGCAATTTTTTTATATTGTCGCACTTAATTTTTGTCTTAATAGGTTTTTATGTGTTATTGAATAACAATTTTCATAAAAAGTATTTATTGGACAATTTCTTTTCCGCAAACTAGCCATAATTAAAATGCCAATAAAATATTCACTTTTTCCTTGATATTACACACTTCTTTTTATTCCCGCTCTCTTTCTCTCCGTTTTCCATAAAATTAAATACTTTAGTGATTTCCAGTAAATGAGAGAAGAAAAAATAAATCAAAATGACTTAAATAACTTTCTCTCCCCTCGGTTTTCAATGTTACAAAAAATTTTTAATTTTATACTACGAAATTTTCCAATATAAAAATTCCGATAAAATAAAAACAATATAAAAATTTTTTATCTTTATTCAAAAAAATTTTTAAATGTCCTTCATAGTTTCCTTTCTTTTTAACGTTCTTCCTTTTCACATTACAAATTTGATTTTTTTCGCACAATTTTTGTATTTAAAAATAAAAATTTATTGAAAGGGTAATAAACTTGCATGTATAATTCAGTCTTTTAGACTCCACAATTTTTCTTTTCATTCCACACATATTTTCTCTATTTTATAGAAATATTTGCATACCTATACAAACATATAACCCAAATATACACGAGACAATAAATTTATTTTACACTTGAAATAAAAATTTACAATGCTATGAAATGGAATTTTTTGAAATATTTTATGGCAGGACATTTATTGTATTTTGCAATTTGCTTTTAAGAATTTTTAACCAGCAGATTGAAAAATGTGCTTTGTAACCTATAAAATATTGTAGATTTTATTTTATGCAAAATAGGATATTGTATTGCAGAAAAACAGAAAGAAAATTTTTCAAATTTCAAAATGAGAACATAAAATTCTAATAATTGTGTAACTTAACCTAGAAATTATACATTCTGTATTGCAAATATTGTAAAATTTGGCACACTTAATGCCAATGAAATGTTAAATAGAAAATCACTTATTCTTTTAAACAAGAAGGACTACTGGTTACATAGACTTAATTAAATTTACAGTACAGAGCCATAATTGCTTATTACGAAAAACTAAAACGCGGATATTATACAATTTGCGTTAATATTTTTCTTATAATACTTAATTTTTTTTTTTTGATTTTTAAAATCCTCTTATTGGATTTTCTTACAAAATCTCAATGATTTTTCCAAATAAATTTTATAAAAAGAAAATTTCGCTAAATTTTTTTAAAGGTGAGTTTTTTTCGATATGTTTTAACTATCAGGGAAAAACTTAAATAGAGTCAAAAATTTTTTTGAAAAAGAATGGAGAATTTCCATATTTCAATGCCTTGCTTTTCAACTAAATTGAGTTAGAGGTCCTTTCGTCCTATTTAATTCCGTTTCATTCTATAAATATCTCAAATGGCAATATTAAAAAGCTAAGGTATACTTTTTAGAAACATTGTATAAGTCAAACTTCTAGTTAAAATAAATTCAGAATATTGTTTTAATCTATTGTAATTGAGTTATTGAACTTCTTTTCTAAAAAAATTTCATTTTACATATAAAACACATACCTAAAACCCGCATTGTAAATTGTAATACACAACACTTTGGTAAGTTATTTATTAAATAAACACTTTTTGATTGTATTTACAATACGATCCCAATAAAAATTCAAAGTAGTAAGATACTTTGAATACAAATTGTTTGTAAATTTTTTTTGAAATACCGCATGAAATATTCTCTTTATTCAACCTTATCAAGTAACTTAATCTTTATAAGTATGTACTGTCATCCACATTTAAAATGCATTATATAAGAGAGACCAAATAGATTCGAGCGAAAAAGCTGCAAGAAACTTTGATATGAATTTAAGAATTTACATTTCACATCCACGCTTATTAAGAATTAACAAACACATTTTCCAAAAGAATAAGTTGCAATGATTTTTTAAAATTCTAAATGCATCTTTGCATTGTCTACAACTATTCATCTATATACTTTAAACGTCTGGTTAATTTAACTTTCTACGTGAGTTTATTTTATTGTTATTCTTCGTAATTCTTTAGAAAACATAAAATTATACAACATTCAAATTTTAATTTAAATAAATGACATAGCAATTCTTTTGAAAAACTTAAGAAATTCTTTAATGCATGGTATACTTTGATCAAAACTCAATTTAGTGTAATTTTACTAAATAATATTATCCTTAAGAAAATTACTTTGTTTCAATAAATTCACCTGCAATCTGCTTTAAAAAAATAATTTTTAATTTGAATTTAATCGATTAATTAACTTTTATTTTTCTTTAAAGTAAAATTTCTTTAAATTCGTTCTAAATTTTTTTTTATATTTTGCTTTTTCTCATAAACTGAAATCTTTTATACCGAATCCTTTATTTTACAATTTAGTATAACATTTGAAATTTTTTTAATAAATTTTTTACTTGTACTACAACTCTGCGTTCTTTGTAATATATTTTTAGAATCTATATTTTCATTTAATAATTTAAACACTTAAATTGTTTTAATGTTGTTGCTAAATATTTAAAGAGTAATGCAAAGAAAATTTCTTGAATAATCTTGTAACCTAACACATTTTTTAAACTAACTAGTGAATCAATTATTAGGCTGCGCAAGGCTCATAATTTGAATTTTACATGCTTCAGTATTATACTAATTATCATATGACCTAAAAACCAGTGGAAATCTTCTTTAATTTAGAAGAGTATAAATAATCAATTTTTTTAACCATAGCTTTAACACAGCAGTCAAAAAATTCAAACTATTTATTAATTTTTTCATTATAATTCACTAGATTTTTCATTAAATATTAATTAGGTACACAAAAATGAACTCAGAATGCATTTGAAATCATTACTAATACATTTCTATCATTCTAGTTCTAATACATTCTAATT